AAGACCGCACTGGTGGATCACTGGCCAAGACCACACTGGTGGATCACTGACCAAGACCACATTGGTGGATCACTGGCCAAGACCACACTGGTGGATCACTGGCCAAGACCACACTGGTGGATCACTGGCCAAGACCACACTGATGGATCACTGGCCAAGAAGACCACACTGGTGGATCACTGGCCAAGACCACACTGGTGGGTCACTGGCCAAGACCACACTGGTGGGTCACTGGCCAAGACCACACTGGTGGGTCACTGGCCAAGACCACACTGGTGGGTCACTGGCCAAGACCACACTGGTGGGTCACTGGCCAAGACCACACTGGTGGGTCACTGGCCAAGACCACACTGGTGGGTCACTGGCCAAGACCACACTGGTGGTCACTGGCCAAGACCACACTGGTGGATCACTGGCCAAGACCACACTGGTGGATCACTGGCCAAGACCACACTGGTGGATCACTGGCCAAGACCACACTGGTGGATCACTGGCCAAGACGTTACTCTAAACAGTTTAATTCTTCCTTTTGTTGGTCAAGTCAACATTTAGGACCATTTAGGGATACAGGAGGTCAGGCGCCGCCATCTTGTTGACGTCCCGGGTCACGACATGGCCGGCCGCCCACAGTGCCACAACACGGAGGAGGGCGGCGGCACTCATGGCACTCATCACCCATGACCAGTAATCAGTGATGAGAGCAACACAAAATATAATTAAGATATAAATATTTGAGATATATAACGAATTTACACACTTGGCCACAGTACGACTGATAAGGGAGGGGGGGGGGAATTGATGTATTTCTAGGTGATGAACTAAAATGAAGCGAGAGTATTGCTGTGACAAACATACAAGTGCCCCTACATTTAGGTGATCACAAAAACATCTAATAACTAATGTGACCTTCTCTAGCCTACTACACTCTAGGTGGCGCCGGGGAAATGCTTCTGGTGGTCATCTTGGTGTGTCCTCCCAGTCCTGGCACCTGGGCATCTCTTGTGTGGTGGTTGTGTCACCTCACTTGTGTAGGATGACTCTGACGTGTTGTATCAGCTTAAGGACTGTTGACCTCATTGCACAGGGACTTAGTACACCCATAAGAGGCCATTTAATAGGTGTTAATAATGTTGTCCTCATACCTGTGGACTGTCCGTGTATCGTACCGTCGTGTGGAGGTGTGCAGTACAGGGTGGTTCACTAGGCTGTAGAGAACCACCCTGTATGTCACCTGTTTCTCGCCCACCCTGTACTGTACTTATCCAGGTGTCAATGCTGTTGTCGTTCACTTTGCATATGTATTAAATAGGCTGAATAAACTTCTTCAATTGAATAGTTGTGCCCCAACACACTGCCGCCCACACCATGACTGAACCTCCGTCGGCAGAGGTCAATTTCAACAATATTGACGCCAGCATACTTGTGTTGCTCACGTCTCCACACCCCTGCAAGGGTATTGGTAGTCGATACTGTACATCGACTCTCATTTATGAAGACTCGGTCATCTCCAGTTGACGAGAACAGTGTTAACCTGGCAGTCATAACACCTGTGGCCGGTCGTGGGGCCTCGTACGATCATCAGGGGGACGAGTCCTTACTGTCTGGTGGTCTAACAGCGCCGCTACGAGGATGACCTGTAGTCTGGCGATCCGGATGAGGCAGTGGCCTTACCCAGGAGTGATCGGGGGTGTAGGACCCGTCCTCCAGGTGCCTCCTACACACCTGGAGACACATCAGTCCCTTAGGCCACCACTCTGACGGTCACCATCTGTCAGCCACTACAACGCCCTGACAACTTCATCTTGGTCTAGATATCGTCTGACACCATTAACCAACATCGAGCAGCCAAGATGGTGGATGAGAAGTTGAGGCGGGGATAACTCCTTCTGCCGGAGCCTGACACCACTGTCCTGTAGGGGTGATCAGACACAAGGATGCCTGACGGGGTCTTGTGTAGTTCATCCAACCCTTCAGGTAGTTATCCTGGTCTACATCTACGGTGGTTCATGTGTGACACAAACAAACAATGCTCTTTTAATTTATTTTTAACACGTATATGCGGCACAGGTGTTCAGGCGTCTTAAGATGGGAGTTTTAGTGTATAATTTATTTCTATTTGCAGCTAATGCCATTTACCATCTTGAAATTTGGTCTATGGAATAAACTTCACATTACGCCAGGCTGTGTGTGTCTGTTTGTGTCTATATGCCTAGTAGGGGGAGTGTCTGGCTGAAGCTTCATCCATTGTCGTAGCTCTCAGGACTCCAAATGGAAACCTAACGACTCTCTGTTGTTTCTCTTAATGTGAAAATACCAGATGACGACAGCCACGCCCAGCCTCGTGACAACACCTGAAGCTACACGTGTCAGGGTTGAGATTTGTTCAGGTGTTTCATAAGGATTTTTTTCTCGGGTTGTTTGTACACCTGTAAGTCATTAATTCATACATCCATCAGGTCATTCAACAAACCACAGGAGAGAAATAGATTAAACGAATCTTACGTTACTGGTTTTAAGGAAGGAAACAAAATGGCGGAAGATACAGTGTCCTAATACCTGCTTATTACCTGTTGATATGATCGCATTCTTCATATCAGTACACGAATACAAAAAATCTTGCTGTAATTATCAAATACAAATAGGTGGTGTATGCTTACGTTATAATACAGTACAATACAATATACACCAGTACAGGTATACTCTAACACCTGCCACTCTGTCACAGGTGTGGAAATTGAAGGCTGGTACACAGGTGTCTTATTCATATATTCCTCCTACTTGTGTTCATTGTCCTCTTGTTGTCCTGCTAGATATTAATTATTTTGTTATTGTTTATCATCTTGCTGTAGTTGTCGTGGGAACATTATTTCAGCGTTTATGAAATATTTACAAAGCAATACCTGTCTTTATCCAATTAATATGTATAGAGTAATATTTGTCTTTGATCAATATTTCTAGAACGTCTGTCAAGCATTCAACAACATGTAGGCTTAGATCAGGACTTTTATCATCCCAGTGTGATCAGCGGAAAGTGATCAGCATAGTTTAATCATCGTCGTCTGATCACTCTCATGAGATCAGTTTTGAGGTCTCCATCTAGTTGTAAACATTACCTCAGTCTGAAGATTTTTGTAGTCCTCGTTATCTTGAACAGCAACAACAACAACAACAACAACTGGTTAATGGACAGATTACAACATTATCCCATAACCACCACCACCACCACCACAACAACCACAACCACCACCATCACAACAACAACCACCACCACCACCACCACCATCACCACCACCACAACCATCACCACCACCACAACCACCACCACCACAACAACCACAACCACCACAACAACCACAACCACCACAACAACAACCACCACAACAACAACAACACAAACGAGAAACAACTGACTGATGAGCAATACGACACTTCCTCTCAGTGACCTCCCAACCACAACTTCCTCAATTCACATCACTGTTGTTTTCTGGCCACGATTATTTCTTTGTTTACTTTTCACACATACCTGAGCGGAACTAACCCCCCCCCCCTTCATACAGGTGAGGTGGAAGCCTACGGGAAGATGGTTGAACAGGGCTTCATGGTGTGATCTTCATGGTGTGGGCTTCATGGTGTGATCTTCATGGTGTGGTCTTCATGGTGTGATCTTCATGGTGTGATCTTCATGGTGAGATCAGTGTAATGTGGTCAACGTATTGTGGTCAGGTAGATATTCATTATTTATTTTATCGCTGCGAGTAACGTTACACACCTGTCACACACCTGTCACACACTTGTCATACACTTGTCTCGGTTATCTCACCTCTGCTACCTGTACGTTGAGTCTTGATTCAGTAATATACACCTGTGTCTTGGAGTCTTGAGCTGAGGTATACTGGTGAAGACAATATTGAGTGTTGTGTTTCCTGTCAGTAGAGCTTCTGTATCTGCCCTGCCCTGATCTGATCTACCTGTCTTTGTCTCTGTTCTTGGTTTCACCCCAAGCCCGGCCTGACCCCTGCCCTGTTCCTGCCTCCTGTCTTGATCTGATCCTGCCTGTCTCTGCCCTGCCCTCAAGCCCTGATCTCACTTGCCTCAAGTCTCAGCCTCTGCCTGCCCTGCCTCTACCCTGGCCCCTGGCCCTGCCCTGGACCCTGCCCTGCTCCCCTGCCCTGACCCTGCCCTGCCTCTGTCTCGATCTGATCCTGCCCTGCCTCTGTCTCTGCCCTGCCCATGACCTGACCCTGCCCTGCCCTGCTCCTGCCCCTGATCTGGACCCCTGCCCCACCTCTGCCTTGTCTCTTGATCCTGATTGTCTGTCTCTTGATCTGGACTGCCCTGTCTCCAGTCTCTGTCTCTGTTCTGCCCCTGCCAAGGACTGCCCTGCCCTTGCCCCACTGCCCTGCCCTGACCTGACCTCGCCCCTGCCCCCTGACCCATTCCGCCCTGACTCCTGCCTCCTGTCTGCCCTGATCTGATCCCTGACCTGACCTGCCCTGCCATGACCTGACCTGACCTGACCTGACCTGACCTGACCTGCCCTGCCCTGCTCTGCCCTGCCATGACCTGACCTGATCCTGCCCTGCCCTGCCCTGACCCTTCCCTGACTTGCCCTTAGGTTGGTTCTAGGAGCGGGTGTTGTAGTAGAGAATTTTGATAACCTCTACTGCTTGTTATGACGCTGTGAGGTTTAGTGTAGTTATAAAGGTAGTAGTTGGGATGTGTAGTTACCTCACCGGCCGCAGTCATCACAGTGTCATTAAGCAATATGTGTTAAATTCACAAGAAAAAAATCCAACAGGAACTGGGCATTATAAGAAGTGTGGAATTAAACCACATGTTTACACAAGTACTTTATACAAGACAAATTTAAGTGACCTATTGGGTGAAAATGTATATTACTGAGCGTAGTTAAATATATTTCACTTTCAACAATACAAAGAAAATGGTTACTTAAGACTCGTAGGGAAGCTTTGTGTAATCTGGTTCAAATTTGGTAGATGCTGCTCCCACAAGTTCCTTTGTGTTAGTGAGCGGTAGTGTACTTGTTCTTATCGTAAGTCTGCTGGCAACATTGAAACAACCTGAAGTCTACTGGTGTCTCTGTTATGTGATGCACTTTTTTTCCCCCAAATTCCACTAATGACTCTGTAGGTCCAGGATCTACAACTGTGCATCACCAAGACCTGCCTCGTCAATATATCGTCAAAAAAAATCATGGACTTGAAACAAATGGGGGCAAAATTATCTTATTCTGAATCTCAGAAAAAAACCCTGTGAATTTGGGCTGTTATCATTACAAGCATTGAGTGTGTGTGTGTTATCAGCTGCCAGGTGTAATGTTTCTCAGTGTAACAAAGAGTATCACATTTGGTTGCATCAAGTGTTCAAACAACCTCATCTTACTTTATCAACTTAGGCGGCCACTCATCACATTTTGGATGCCGTCATGACGGCCGCAAATTTTAATTTTCTGGCCGCATGCAACCGGAAATAGAAAGGTTGCGGACCTTTGGTGTAGAATAATACTGTACTAACACTTGTCTGTCGTGTGGATGTGTATCTGTGTCCAGAAACTTCTTAACTCTGTCTTAAAACTGTGTTGGTGTCGCCTCAGTTCATACAAACTCAGCATCCTCCAGATATACAATAAATATACAAAATGAAATTCAGCCAAGATCTATTTCTAAGAATGATTCAAGAGACAATTGGTTTATATTTTCACGAAATTGTTCTGAAGGTTGTGACTCCATATTACAGGTTATATATACATGAACACCTTGGGAAGTGTCTGTTATTCCTGTACCAGTAGTCAGAAATCTACAGCGGGATCTGGTAAGGAAAACTGTGCCCAGGTAAAGCTTCCTTCATGCCTGTTAATCTGGTGAAAAGGCATGAATGTATAATTGGAATGACGAAATAAAATTGGCTAAATTGATATTTTTTGTCATTAATATTAAAAAGAATACAGTATATATATATATACCCCCACGCTCCCTCCCCACCCCCACGCTCCCTCCCCACCCCCACGCTCCTTCCATCCACGCTCTCCCCTACCCTCCACGCATTCTCCCTACCCTCACGTTCTCTTCCTCCCTGCCCGCTCTCTCCCTATCTCCACATTCTCTCCCTCTCTCCCTATCTCGACGTTATCTCCCTCCCTTGACGTTTTCTCCCTTCCTTGACGTTCTCTCCCTCCTTCCACATTCTGTCTCTCCCTCTACGCTCCCTCCCTCCGTCTACACTTCCTCCCTCCCTTCCACGCTCACTTCCGATGTACCCACCTTTGCTAGCCACCCTATCTCCCTCGCCAACACTTCCCTCCCTTCCCCCTCCCCCTCCATCAGTTCCCCTCCCCCCACCAGACCCCCATTCCTGTCGATAAATCTACACTCCATACTGTATTATTAAACAGATTTCGTGAATTAGATCCCATGCAACATTTAAATATACAGGGTATATATTTTTTTAACCTCGCTAAAATTGGAGGTTTGTATCGTCAATGGACAGCATTTGTTAATATCCAGCCAAATGTTACTGGGTTAACCTGAGCTTGGAGGGAAAATAATGTCACTTAGTCTGTATGCGATGAATTTTTTTTTCCTCGATAAGTTGTTCTAAGGTTAATATTTGGTGATGATAATAAATGTTTGCGTAAATTGGCGGTGGTTTAGGTTTTTGTTTTCTGTCAAGTCTTTTTTTTTATTCTTTATCATGTAAGTTATTATTTTTCATCTTTTATTTTTGGTGAATTCAGTGTGAAATTTTATATAAATATTAATGTTTTTTTATGTAAATTACCATTTGATATGTTCAGTAATTTATATAAATTCTTATGATATTCGTTATATAAATTAAGTGATTTTATAGATAATTTTGTGTAGAATGTTATTTTGTATGTTCATTATTCTATATAAACTGCCATTTGTATAATTTAATATGTGGGGTTTATTTCAGTGAGCCGCTGCAGCTTGATCATAATCATTTCATTTGTACCAAAACAACATTATAGGACCGGTGATGTCCCCAGGGCAACATTATCACAGTACCAAAATTAAGTGATAAACCTGGTTCAAAATACTCTATAGTATAAGAAACACACACAGGTAAACAGAACACGTAACCTTATTAATCACCCAGGTGTATCGAGGAAGTTATACTGTAGTGCAGAAACTTGTTAATTGTATGGAAGGTTTTTGTTTTTCTATTTGCTGATCAAGGACTTGTATTGGTATTACACAGTTAAATTTGGTAAAGAGCATTTAACCGTATACGCTCATAATGATTAGTCACATTGGTTCTCAAATACACACTCTCTCTCTCTACTGTACGTACGTGTGTCTGTGTATGCATGATTACCTTTAAAAAATGATGTCCTTCCACAAACGATAATAAATGACTCCCGTATATGACCCTTTGAACAAGACACGCTGCTGTGTAACTTCTTAATAATAACCCGCTCCACACTTTATATTCACCCCTCCCTCCTCTCCTCATCTGTTTTCCTAACCCTCATCTCGTCCAAAGTTGGGTTTCCTAAGGACACATTTTCGTACATTTCAACTCATCCCATGGAGGACGGAACACCTCCCAGGTTCGCCACGTCTCTCTGCCAGCCCCTAGATCTGTACCGGGCGTCTCACGGGCGACTGTACTTAAGCATGCCCATAGTGATGGAGTGATAGCTGCTGTTTGGTCGGTGTTTGTCAGGTATTGGTTGTATATGTGATGAATAATAGCTGTGGTTATTATTATTATTATTATACTTTATTTTTAGTTGTGGGAGGGATAAGTGTTAGGTCGCTTGATTTTGGTCTCAACTTTGTCAGTGGGTGACGTTACGTGGACTCGGGGGGGGGTCGCTTGCTTAATTATACACTACCTGCAAGCACCCAAAAATGTAGCTTATTACAACGCTAAGTGCTCGTTAACTTAATGCTGGAGCTGAAAGAGAAATACGACATTAATATTGAAGGTGTTAAAGATTAGGTCGATAATTTGCTTTGGGGTGGAATTGGGGAGTGAAGTCGATATTAATAATAATTATAATGATAAAAAATGCAATACTATGACTACTACTACTACTACTACTACTACTACTACTACTACTAATAATAATAATAATAATCATCATCATCATCTCTGGGTATAGTAATGGTAATAATAGTGTGTAATTAATCACAAGAATTAGTTACATATAGCGATGAGTTCGTTTGTAATTATATAGACCCTTTAACACACAAACAAATGGTAGTTGAAATTGTGTGCACTAAGAGGAGGTCCGTGCCTCACCCGTTGTGAGTACACCACACTACCACGGCACTGTCAGCTCTTAAGCTGGTGTACGTGCTGACAGATCACAACTGATATTTACATTTAAATGAACTTTGCATAAAAATACTGAATGGGAACCTGACATGCACGTCCAGCCATTGTTGTTGTGACGTGATTTATGTGGATTATTTTTCAATGTTGTTAAAGCGTTTATTTATCTACAGTGTGCGGGGAGGGGGGGGGAGGAGGGGGTCACGCCTTGTATGTTTGTTTGGAATTAAATTATCTTAAGACGGATTTCAACGGCTAACATCAAAGTTACATTATATATTCGTCGATATTGAATATAATTTTGAAGAAGGTTGCAATAAAGTGAACTGGATAGATGTAATAAAACTTGGTAGGTGGGTGTAATGCTGCTGAATTAAGAAGTGATAAAGGCTATGTGAGTATAGATGGAAGGCTCTAGGTCACGGCTCTAGGTCACGGGACTAGGTTTACGGTTCTAGTTCACGGCTCTAGGTCACGACTCTAGGTCACGACTCTAGGTCACGGGACTTGGTTTACGGTTCTAGTTCACGGCTCTAGGTTTACGGTTCTAGGTCACGGCTCTAGGTCACGGCTCTAGGTCACGGTTCTAGTTCACGGGACTAGGTTCACGGCTCTAGGTCACAGCTGTAGGTCCTGGCTCAAGGTCACGGTTCTAGGTTACGGGACTAGGTCACGGCACGGCTCTAGGTCACGGCTAAAGGTCACGGCTCTGTCACGGTTCTAGGTCACGGCTCTTAAATAACAGCTATAGGACACGATGCAAAGTCACGGCTCTAGGTCACGGGACTAGGTTTCCGGTTCTAGTTCACGGCTCTAAGTCACGGGGCTAGGTTTCCGGTTCTAGTTCACGGCTCTAGGTCACGGGACTAGGTTTACGGTTCTAGTTCACGGCTCTAGGTCACGGCTCTAGGTCACGGTTCTAGTTCACGGCTCTAGGTCACGGCTAAAGGTCACGGCTCTCTCACGGTTCTAGGTCACGGCTCTTAAATAACTGCTATAGGTCACGATGCAAAGTCACGGTTCTAGGTCATGGCTGTCACGACTCAGGGTCACGGCTCTGTCACGGATATATGTCACGGATCTTGGTCACGGCTCTAGGACACAGCCCTAGGTCACGGTTCAAGGTCACGGCTCTAGGTCACGGGTTTAGGTC